ACGGTAGTGATCAATGTGCGGATATATCTCAGTCTGGGTCATTAAGTCATTTCGGGGGCGGCACTACTTGTTGGCTTTTCATATCCATGGTATGGCTCCCAAAAACATAGGGCTTTACTTGTCTTTTTGAGTACTGCAGCAATTGTTGGGGTCTCTTCGAATTTTGATTGAAACCTGCTTATCTACAGCTATTGCTGCCAGTTTACAAAAGTGAACTATGTGGCCATGGCAAGTTTAGAGGCAGTCTCGCCCTTGAGTGACGCATTCGCTGATATTTAAACGTTCTGTGAACAATTAAGGTGTATTGTTGTAGTGTGCAGCATTTGAGATACATGTACTAGTCTTCATCATAAGTATATCTGAGATCGTATCGACAACAATAGTTGTTTTTGATGTATCGTGATGTCTTATAGATTTACTACATACGTGCATATTGTGTATCGTATTTTCTCATTGTATAAAGGGTTTCGTCATTTTTGCTGCTTCATCGTGCCTATCAATCGATCGTTGAAATCGACCGTATCTTATCTTCAGATGAATGAATAGGCTTTCGTTGCAAGTTCGCTCATGGAAATTGCGAGCGAACATCAGTAGACAGATTTCTATCGCTGAACTTTTTTCTGTTGTTAGGAATAAACTTTGGGCACCAGCAATTGAGAAGATGTCGCTTCTGGTCAAAAGCTTCAGGGTTTGTGGAATGCTGTTTCTTTTCTTTAGTTCTATTTTTATCCTTTTTTTTTAGCTTTTTTGCTTTAGCATTCTTTTTAATCTTTTTCTGAACGTCTGAGGTTCAAATTCATACATTTCTGGTGAAGTATCCCCGTCTAGGTACCAGCGCCGGCGCTCTCCGCGGCCATGGTCGCTTCTCAACGACGCATGAACAGTGGTGGGGATGTGACGTTCCACACAAAGGTGAAATAGTCGTTCTTTCGTTTGTTTACTATCTCTTAAATGTATTCTTGCTTTCAATTCCGAGTTCGTTATCAGTCAAGGAAACCTTTTGGGAATAGGACGGAGTTCTCTTTTTGAACTTGCAATCCTTGAATGCTCTTTTGAACTGATTTGAGTTACATAAATTTCTAGGATTATAAACTGCACAAACTCGACCAGGGTCCGAGCAATACAGTCACCTTGAGTAGGGATGAAGCCTTGCGTTTCTATCGGCAAATGCAGGTAAGGGACCCCTTTCTTTCCACGACTCAAGCGGTCTTATAAGTTGTAATTTGGTATTTTAATTCGAATAATTCAGTTGATTCGTCGTATGGAGTCAGCTGCTTCAAACCTCTATAAGGAAGAAAATTGGCGGTTTCTGTCATCTGTACTCTGGCCAGGTATTATTTCTGCTTCAGAACGCGTATGAAACTATTCAACGTCTCTCAGTGAATTTCATCTTTAGGAAGCTTGTGCTGTTGGCATAAAAGCAGCTATGACAGATGGTGATGCTGTGATTACTTCGTATCGTTGCCACGGATGGACATTGTTACATGGCGCCAGCGTATCGCAGGTTCTCAGTGAACTGACTGGTATGTTGTTTTGGGTAGCGGAAATCTCACGTTCAATAGAAAACTGTCCAATGTCCAGAATACGGAACCTACCTCCACCTTATTTTTTCCTTCATTATTATCATATCTCACTTATCTTTGCTTCGCTGTGGTACCAAGTCAGCTGTAAGCATGGAGTATAATTTTGGCATGCGTTTCCTTAGGAACTCTAGAACGAAGAACGTGCTAGAGTTCCTAAGGAAAGACCATTTTGTTGATTTGCCACGATCTAACTGTTCGGAAGCATGAGTTAGGCCATAAAGTGAGCAAGGTGAGATAGATCGTCTTAGGCGAGAAATATTGCTACTGTCTGTGCAGCTTAGTTACTGGGGTACCCGTTATTGATGCTTTTTGCTGACCACTGATATGAGCTAAACTGTTCAACAAAAATTGTTAAAAATTGTGAAAAGCGTGTTCAGTTTACCCGGAGATGTTCCTCTCCATCCAAACTTGAGCAAGAAGTACTCCTTCAGGTATAGATCTCTGGGATTTCATTCCTTGCCCCGAAAATGATGTTGTTCAAAATCTGGATATTTCGGCAGCCAGCGGGTGGCGCGCTAGAGTGGTGTGGTTTCTTATCACACCTTGAATTCTGCGTAGGTCCAATAGATTTGGGACTTCCGACGAAATCAGCATAGGTATTAGTCTTAGGGGTTATGAAAGGAAATCCCGATCAGGTTTGATCTCCAACATCTCTCTCTCGAAGTATCTAGCGGAAACGCTAATGTGGTTATTACTGCTTCCAACATTTTTTTTCAAAAGGGCTATCTTAAAGACGATATCACGAAGACTATCCTAAGGTTTGAACTCCAACTTTATTTGGACGCTTAGGTTTTTTACAAAAATTCTTGGCAAAGGAATTTTGGAACGTGCGATATACATAAGTTTTTTTTTTCAATTAATTTCGTTGTCGGGGGCCTCAATTCTCGACAATGAACTTAATTTCATTAGAAGATGTTACTGAAGATCAATGTAATGCTTCTCAAGTACTGTAGCACCATTCTGATCTTTGAAATCACTGCCGGGAGGAAAGATTTGCCAGCCCTCCATTCAATCAAAGGCAGCTGGTACGATAGGTTTATTGCCCGTTGGAGCAAAAAGTTGAGGTGGTCAAGAAAAAGTAAACGTAAAAGATCTGAAACTCGTGTAAAGAGACCACTTTTCGTCTCTGGATTTCCGCGCTTGACTAATTCTACAATAGTTCCCTCCATTACTTTGTACGCATTGATCTGTCTCTCTGCTAAAATGGCTAGAGTCACTGCGACAGTCGGAGGGCTGGTTGACCCAGTAGACGCTAGCCAGAGGCGCAAAGGCGTGCAGAATGCAGGTAAAGCTTTGTTGTTGCAAGGCAGCGCGCACCCACCCACGCCTCCAATCGTGCTTCGGTTCCTTGGGACCTATTCTCTATTCACAGTGATTAGATTTGCCCGTCTCCAACATCTAATCCACCGTACCACCTGCCGAGTCACTGTAGTGTAAGTTTCTGTGAAGTTGTAGTGTGAATCAGTAAGCGTGATGCGCAATCAAGTTGACCTCTTCTCGACTATACGCCAAACAAGGTGATTCTTACGTTTTCAGGAAGAATGGCAGGCGTTGTGCACGGAAAAGGAGGATCAATGCACATGTTTGAGAAAGATTTCTATGGTGGCAACGGCATTGTTGGTGCCCAGCAGGCTTTAGGAACGGGAATCGCATTCGCCATGAAATACAAGTCAGCTCTAGTCTTCGTAGATTTTTCATGTTAAAGATAACTTTCAATGAAGAGGATTTGTAGGAAGCAAAAGAATATCTGTCTAACCCTTTATGGAGATGGTGCTGCCAACCAAGGTCAGCTCTATGAGTCGACGAATATGGCTATGCTCTGGAACCTTCCTGTGGTATATGTCTGCGAGAATAACGGCTTCGGTATGGGTACCCAGGCAGAGAGATCGTCCGCCTCGACTGATTACTACATGAGGTTCGAGTATCACCTTGTGCTTGTCATTTCTACAGCATTGTAGCGTAAAGTGCTTCCAGAGGTGATTATGTTCCTGGTCTCTGGGTTGACGGTATGGATGTGTTGGCGGTACGTGAAGCGATTCGTTGGGCAAAGGACTACTGTAATGCTGGTAAAGGGCCATTAGTGCTAGAGCTGGCGACATACAGATATTCTGGACACTCCATGTCCGACCCTGGAACAAGGTAGGAGCTTCTTTTCCTGCAGCGCTTATTCAAACAAATAGTAGTGATTTTCAGCTACCGAACGCGTGAAGAAATCCAGGAGGTTCGCAAAACTCGTGATCCAATCACTGGTTTCAAGGATCGCCTCATTACTTCTGGACTCGCGAAGGAAGATGATCTTAAGGCCATTGATAAGGTATGAGTGTGATTGCCTTCGATTTACTTCACAAATACTTAACTAGTTCGTTGTTTTCTTAGGAAGTCCGTAAGGAGGTCGACGATGCTGTGAAAGTAGCAGTTACAGCTCCATTGTTGCCCGAAGATGGAATTTATGCTGATGTATATCATAACACCCCTCCTATGATGGCGAGTTATTTCCTTCGCTATTATTATTTTTATTTTCTAGGGTTATCGGGTCTTGAAGTGCGCTATCTTGAGAAAAAATGAAAGCCAAAGTTTTAAAGTACTGCACCTTCGCGCTTTCCAATTGTTTATGGTTTTGCTCCGAGAACTGGCGCGCGCGGTCGCGATGCGGCAGCAGATAGGACGCTTTTTGTTTCGATATTCCTGCCACGTTGAACTCAAGCGGCACGCATGCTTTGCCTCATGTATAGCATGGTTTTTTCGCTGATTTTTATTACTTTTTGTAAAGTGAAATCCTTTCAGATACGTGGAGTTACCATCGATGAATCGCATGTGCAGAAATACGTGAATTCTACCGAGCTTTTGAAAGCTATTAATAAGTAGAATCCAAATTTCCATTGTGATAGTGCAGTAGACTAGCCCTTATTTTGTTCTAGCAACTAATAGTAATAGATAAGAAAATTCGCTGGTGTTCTTACTCGGACTGGTAGAAGCTGAGCTGTTTTAAAGAGCCAATAGCTTGGCTGTTTGTACTCTGAATGTGTGATCTTTCTTGATAGGTGTGATGGTTTGTTAGAATTCGTGATGAGTCAATAAAGCTAAGATATGGATTTTTGTGCTATGAAAAATAATCATCTAGAGTCAAAAGGAAAGCGCAGATACGAAGCAGGAAGAGCGAGGCTGAGCGCGTATCGATTCCTTGTGACCCACACTTTACTACGTACTTAAATGAACAAACGTTCCTCAAGGTGTATGGCTTGTTGGCCTTGAGCAGGATCCGAGCCGGGGATTTTCTGTGTCGCTTGATCGCGCGATAGCGGCACTACCCTTCATCGTGGGCTGTATTTTAGGCTAATTGTAGGTTTTCATGGTTGGCTGAGGACAACTCTAGACAGTCAAATATTAACATGGTTATTGTTTGGCCATTGGAAGTGATGTGATCGGAGTTCCACGCAGTGAAGAAAAGCCGGGACGGAAGGGCGTCATGAAGAATTCCTCGACCATGGCTCGCTACTGTGCGAGAGTAGTGTCGAGAGTGAATGCATGCGAGAGAGCACAGACGGCTCGCGGGGCGAGAGTGAGCATCCACATGGGAGAGCGTGAAAGAAATCCTCGACGAGCCGTTGTCGTTTCTTCAGCAATTTTCACTCTGGTTGAAGCTAATATGAGTAGACGTGGATGGCATGCTCGGAACCACAGCAGGACTGGAACCTTCATTTGTGAATTTTGCTAGGAACCGTGAGCTCAACCTCACTAAGGCCTAATTACGTCAATTCTAGCGTGTTTTTCCCCTACAAAAGGTCACCCATGGTTTGTTCAGGCTTCAATTCCATAGCTGAATCTCTTCTGGGGTGCGCCGAGCATTTTTCTTTCTTTCGGGATCGCATCGGTATGTCGGCGCGTTTTGATCTATACAATGACTTTCAATCCGATGTACAATCAGTGTTTTTACGCTTTCAATCGAGTCCGCACCATTTAGGGAACATTAGAAGGGTGAAGTTTGGTTTTATTAGGTGGAATCTGGTCCAAGAAATGTCGCCTGGGCCGTGAGTCTCATAATCAACACCCTCACCACCACAACAGCCCCGACTCCCTTCACCCTCCCCTTCATGTGTAATGAAAGAATTTGCTGTACCCACAGTTTTTCAACCTTTACCCAAGTTTGGGATGGTTCCAATCTTGTTATTCTTGGGAACGAGCTTGAGGACAGTGTTTTGCCTTGCCGAATTTGCTGCCGCAAGCAGCAAAAATTGGGCTCATGATGGATTACGGAATATTCTCCGAAAGCTGTTCTTATAACCGGCTGGAAATCTAACTGAGGATAAAAAACTTCGTTTTGTAGAGAAACTGCGTTTGCTATGCACTACTGGATTATCGAACCGGTTCCCATGTGGCCGTTCTTAGAAGGTGATTTTAAAGTATATCGGTAGATCTCACAGGACATCAATCAATAATTCGCGAAAAATCTCCAACTTTTCGAGAAATTTCCTGCCTGGTATCTTCCCGCAACGATCCAAGTTCATAAATCGGAATAAGTGGAAAATAGACTCCAAAACGAAGTAACCAGTAGCTCTTCTAAGACGCGCCATGAACTTGGCATTTACTCAGAGTCATAGTGACCTTTGAACGTGCATCTGACCAAGGGTCAATGCGTTGAGGAATCCTCGACAATGGGTCGTTGTAGGTCCAGTGAGAGGAAGGGGGTCGTACGAGCCGAAATCATCAGTAATCAGAGCAGCGATAGGCTGTTCGGGAGTGGATGGGAACTGAGTGCAGAGTTTTGCAAGAATGCTAGGTTGTGAACAAAACTTTCGCCCCAGGCGGGACTAGAACCCGCACCTCTCGCTTTCCGGGCAAGTGCGCTACCAGTTACGCTACCGGGGCACCATTTCATCCCAACTCAGCTTTTCATGGTATAAAACCCCTAGCTCATCACCCCTCACACCTATAAGGTGGTGAGCCGTTAGCGTGAAAGCTTTAGCAATTGATTTTGAATGTTGCATTAATCAGAGAAGAGTACTACTAGGAAAGGGGGAGAGAGGATGGTCGTGTCTCCAAGCTTTCCTCGACGCCTCGCTTGACCCTGGGACGGGTTAGTTGCTTCGGGAACTATGTGATCAGTTTCTGGACCCCGCTCGCTGTATCCCATCCTGATACTCTTTCATCTATGCTCAAGAATTTATCTATCATCAATCGCCCTCGAATCTTTTCAATACGCCTACCAGAAAGATTGCAGCGATATTGCTGCATGATGCGTTTTTCGGACTACTCTTCGAAAACACTTGGGGGGGATGGGGCTAGTTTTGTTCTGCTGAAAGGCGAACCCTAGCACTACATGCCCTTAGATACCTGAAGACATTCTGTGTGGCGATTTGCTGCTTTTTCTGCCGCAGACTCGTCATACAAGCCAAAAATAGCTGGCCATTCCCAATCGGCATCGTTTTGGAGGTTGACCTTGATTTGGAGACTCATACACCCAGTCCATTTGAACTAGTTTCACATGATCTGATCTAGCTGGCTGAACTGCCCTAGGAGAAAATTTTATGGGCAGTGTAATTTGTCGGTTTCTATTTATGGTAGTTGAAATGGGTAATTCTGAGGTAGATGGGACATTTCTTATGGCCCTTGCAAGCTGTTAGTCTGCTTCGACCCAAACCAGTGTAGAGCGCGCAGATTTTTTCTGACATCTAAGCTGATTCCATGCCCAACATCTACAATAAGCTCATCTTATCAGATGGGTGAGTCAGGTACCTAACTCGCATATAATCTTTTTGGCCGTACAACCTTTGGGAACGGAAGAGCAGCGCGATTCTCAAAACTCAAGAACAAAAGAAACACTGTTACTTTTATAACAATCTTCGAATAGCCGCTGAATGCTCGATATATAATGCGAACTACCAGAAGCTGATGATATGGTGCGAAAAGCTAGAAAAAGTTTATACACCTATCCGGCAACGCCCTGCCTGCGTCCAGGATCAGCCTTCTGTTCGCACTATCCGAACGAGGAAGATCGTGGAAGATTGAGAGGAACGTAGGTTGATCATTTTTTGGATAACTGGAACCAGGCGTACCTGTGACAGCTGAATGGATTCGGGTTGGGTGATCCGAGGACAAACAGGAAGTTAATGTTGTGGGAAAAGTAATGAAATATAATCTCGCAAAGAACCAGTTAAATAATAATTAATAATATAAGGTAACATCCCACAAGTGAAACATGGAATAGGACTACCATGACACAAACAACCACATTCGCGACACTCTCACCGTCTCCAGGGAAGTGGGAGGACCTTCAAATGCCAGTGCGACTGCTAATCGCTGACAGGTTCACGGCGTATCCCTGATAATTTTCAAAACAACTTCTCTGTCAGCGGCCGTGTGCAGACAGATTTCTTCAGAAGAAGCTTGATGCTTTCAGGACCAAATCTACGTGGAGGAAAGTGCAAAGAATTCGTTGGATCACTAACTGCTAAAGACTTATTGAAAATTTTGTCAGAACAATTTCAGGAAAATAAATTACTCATGTGTCATAAAGAACTATTCATGTATGTAGACTCCAACGGTTCTTTCCGCTTCTCATCATACCAATTTTGAAGGAAATTATGGGGGTTTGAAGATTGCAAAGTCGCGTTTCAGGAAAATGGCTTGAAAAAATCAAGAGGAAAAAAACGGAACAACGGGACTATTTTTTGAAAGAGTGATTATTTAGAAAGTTTGATATTTTTTTCAAAAGCTCAATCTTCTAGTTTCTAATTAGCTTTGAAAATCTGCAAAAAGTTGATAATGAAGAAAGTTATGAACGTTTGAATGTCGAAAACTCGCGCCTTCTCAAAAATCGGACCACAAACCCCCAAAACGGAACAACGGGACTATTTTTTGAGAGAATGATCTTGGAAAATTTCAGGTGCTTGTTCGAAAGCGCTAATCTTCTAGTTTCTAATTAGCCTTGAACATCTGCAAAAAGTTGATTATGAAGAAGTTATGAATGTTTGAATGTGAAAACTCGCGTGTGCACAAAAAACGGAACAACGGGACGATTTTTTGAAGAATTGAACATTTGCATAAGTTTCAAATTTTTAGAAAGAAACAATTTGAATTTTCAAATTTTTGTATCCCATCTCATGAGACCGCTTCTGAAAAATAACCTTTGAATGAAGGGGTTTGTATCGTAACGTAATTGCTGCAAGGTTTAGTTATTCAGATTATAAAAAAGGAGATTTGAGAGATCGAAAAAAACTTGGTAGGTTTCTGAAAGTAGAAATCTCTGCGATTACTACCATGCCTTGGTTTACGCAAAAATTTGGAAATTCTTCTATTTAATGAATAAAATTTCATGTTGCCTCGATTCCCTCCTCTGAGCGAGACAAAGCGCGCGGACTTACCACTGTCCACCACCTCTCCATGTCGGTGACGGCCCATACACCGATGATGGGCCTAAAATTAAAATATGTAAAAGACACAATAGCTAATACAGGGGGGGGTCGTACTGATACCCTCGAGAAGGGAGGGGGCGTGAAAATTTTGAAATCTGCGCAACGCACGGTTGACCCTGATAGGGATCCCTTGGGAGGCTTATAAACAGGGTCATCCCTACGTTGTTACGAGTAACAACGGGGGGGTCGTACTCAGTTGAGCTTGGAGGGAGGGGGGTCGTACCCTCTCGGTGGCCGACAGTGGGATTCTTGGTAATATCGGATAATAGCCAGCACGTTACGTTTTCGTAAGATGACTGATACAGCATCTATAAACCACGATTCCCTCTAAATGAGCTTTCAAATGAATCAGCGAATTAGAAGGGCGCCCGAGGCGTGGCGCGCACCAAGGCAAGGGATGTAGTGCAAGCGCATGCTCGAAGCTTTCTAGCACATCCTAAGTTAAACATTTGG